AGCATCATATGAGAGATGCTATTTTGATTTTAAAATTCAGTTGAATAAAAGATTATTTTTCATTTAGAAAAATAAAAGAGCTGCTAGAAATTTTTCATGAAACTTATTACAGAATGTTTTTTAAATTGAGAATGTTCATTGTTTTTCATCATTCATCTTACAGTTTGGCTTTACCACAGTTTCACATGAACAGTATAACCTAATTACATGTTATTTGAACTCACTGATGTTATTAAACTGCTTGGACAAACTTTCTGCTTATAATAACACCAATCAGCAGTCTCACTATCAAAATACCCTAAGGAAAAGGTGTGCTATACACTGTGCCCCAAAAATATAACAAATCCAGGCTTTGGTGGACCAAAGGAATAGAGGGGTGAGTTCTGAAGCTAAAGCTTAGATTTAACCACGGAAATTTTAATTCCTTAAATACAAGGACGGGGGAAGTGGAAGTGCTATCTAGGCTAACAAGGAAGCCTGATCTTACAGCCACCAACAGTATTACAGCTGAAATATAGCAAAGGATATTCAGTTATCAGGTTATTTAATCAACAGAGCATTTCTTAAGTTTAATTATGAATAGTAGAATTAGCAGCATGATTACAGGGGATGAAAGCACGGACTCAGGTGATAGATTGGCTTTCATAACCTATGGTGGATTCCACTGATTTCATAACTGCTAGGAATTAAGTTTCTGTAGTTGCTCAGTGTCACCAGATCATGGAGATTAAATGTCAGTTTTTGCTGTATGATTTGGTGTATTTAAATTTTTATAATATGTTGTATATGAGCCAAACAGCCTTCTTACCATTTGTATCCTTTTCTGCTTCTTCACCTGCAGCTGTCTCTAGAATCCTTTTCTTTTTACACTACCTGTCTCCTTTCCTGCAGCTTTTCTTCCTCATCTCTTTTCTCTCTTGCCTTAAATTTTCCCCCTCTCGTTTCCCCCCTGTGCTCACTCAGCACTATCTGCATAGAATCTGCCATCAAGCCTGGGGTTCTGTTTCATTTGCTGACATCTATTGGTATATACCACTTTGCATTATTGATTCAAATAATTATACTCAGAGATGTTTAAATTTTAAAAATTTAAAAATTTGCATTTTAAAAATAACTGTGAACACACTGTTATTCAATGGACGTGTGATAGCAATAACCTGCACCAAGAACCGCTTCGATAGAAACAGGTTTCATATTTTTTGGCTGTCTTTGTTTTGTTTTGTTTTTCCCCAGCTGTTGACATTACATGAAAGTTCTGAGCATAGACATGTAATAACTGTGCTGTTTGTTGTAAAGCTTACCTTTGTGTGAAATATCTGATTTGTCATATGAGAGACTGGGGATACCCTAAGGTTCTAAATGTTCGTGGATAATCCTCTTTAGTCAAACACAGACAAACTCAGAACAATTTATAAAACATACACATGGAGAAAAGACATGAAGTGATTGTGATGGGTTTGGGCCCTTTAGGGTGTCACCTGTTGTGCTGGGATGCCACTGAGTCAGCCTGTTCTGCCAGCCTGGGTCCCCTTCCAGCCAAGCACACAGGCAAGGCCACACCCAGCTGCACAGAGAGACAGAGATCTGCTCTGGAAAGATTCAGCCTTAGGGGCTTGCCCCAACACTCTGGTGCCCACTCCCTTTATGGAGTACAAACCAAAGGTTTTATGAAATTCGCCCTCTCCCTCAATGTGGACATTGAGGGAGATAAGCACAACTTCTCTCACCCCCCCCCCCCCCCACGTTAGAAATTACATAAACTGGGTTATATTATAAACAAGAAATATTGTTTATTAACTACGAAAGGTGAATTTTAGGTGAATATAAGAGATAACAGAACAAAGCAGATTACTGACCAAATAAAGCAAAACACGCAAGCTAAACTCAATATACTTAAGAAACAGGTTACAAAATGTAAATTCTCACCCTAAATGTTATTTTAGGCAGGTTGCAAAGTTTCTGTGGTTCAGAGTTCCAGTTATATTCCTTTTCAGACTGGACCCCTCCCCCCCGCCTTCCCTTCAGGTGGCTTTAGCAGTCTTTCTTCTTGGGCAGACAGGCCATAGAAAGGAGGAGTTCCCTTTGCCTTTCTCCCCACCCTTAAATAGGATTCACATAAGGCGAGAATCCTGTTTCTCAAACCTTGCAGTGGAAAGTTACAAGAAGTCCCAGGTAATGTTTAGTATCAGGTGACAAGACCACCTGACTCTGTAGTATCACAGCGTCCATGAGTCAGTGGCAGTATGGAGTGTCCGCAGGAAGGCCAAGCTTTTCACAGCTCATTGTCCTCGCTGATGAGCCATCAGCCCTGTCTGACTTTTCCATTGTTGTACCTGAAGTGTTAGCATTAGGCGTCATCCAAAGTAGCATAGTTGAAATACTGATACATAGTCAATATTCCTAACTTCAGATACAGAAATGATACAAATTAGATAATGGCATTCAGTAAATGATAACCTTTCCAATGATATCTTACAAGACCCATCATGCATAAAGTACATCTCAGTTATGTCATATTCATATCATAAGCATATTTTCATAAAGAATATGGAGTGAAACCACGATGCCATGAAGTAATTTGTATCTTTCCATTGTCCTTTTGCATAGCTGATCCAGGGGTGCTGGAACAATTTGTATAGTGGGGGTGCTGAGAGCCATTGAACCAAACTGTAAACCCTGGATATGCTGAAACCACTTCAAGCCAAGAGGTACAGCAGCACCACTAGTTCCAGCATCTATGAGCTCGTCCTTAGAATGGAGATTCCCATCTCCTCACATATCATCCCCAGTTGCTCAGGTTTGGCAAAAAGTGAGGTGGCCTCTGGCAATCAAGACCTCACTCCCCTATCCTTCATATAAACGTGCAGCCTTCTGGTTCAGGAAGAGGCAGAGATATTCTCCCATCCCACTTGCCTCTGGATTGCCTTGTGTAGGAAGGAACTGCCTCTGGGGCTGCCAAGGAATTGGAGGGTGTTTCAAATCCTGCCAGTGTGTCTGCTCAGAGGAACTAATGGCTGCTTGCCTTGAGGGAGCTTGTCCCATCTTCCTGCCCCTGGATAGTTTGATCCAATTTAGAGAGCACATCTATCAGCCATTAAGGCTGATTTAAGTCAGGGAATCACAGTTCTCACTGGGATCAGGGTGTAGCTAGTCACCACAGTTCGGGACAGGAAGGAATTTTTCCATGCTTAGCCAGGTTAAGATGCAAGGTAATGTTGTTTTGGTGTTGAAAAGTAGAGTTTGGTGTTGGAGTTTTAACTATGCTGCAGGCATTGTCTTTAAACCCCAGTATCCAAGAAGAATAACTGAATCTGCCATATCAAATACCCAAGGCGGCAGGAAATTCACAGACCCAGAAATACCCACTAGTGACCAGGTATAGCTAATTACTTGATTACATTTCTGGTTTGATAATAAAAATATTTAAGATACAAATAGCCAAGCATAGTCAGTTTATTAGTAAAAAATAAAGCAGTACAACATGAAAAAGAGACATACATACCACCCTTTTGGGGAAGCAATCTCTCAGAGTTCACCTTCTATACAAGGTCTACTCCCAGAATATGCACTGAAGTATTTATACTGAAGTTGTTTCCAAGCTAAAAGCACTCTATATATCACCCAAGATTCAACCCACGAGTCTGCATCTGTTTCTGTACCATCCAGTACCTTCCTTATCTTTTATTGTGCATACCACATTCCAGGTGTCAGTGCGCCATTGAAGCACCTCCTGAGAGTACCAGGACATATGTCTGATTTCCGACATGTATCTGATTGTGCCAAGAGTTGAATCAACTGTTGCAAAATGTTAGGGGGGCATATACGTTAGCTTGAGTGAATAGGAGTAAAGAGCATTCAGGGAAAAACATAATACAATTCATAGTTGTACAACTTAGCATGACTACTCAGCATTTATATCTGATATGTGTACAATATTAATATTATGTGTGTAATACATATTAATATATTATGCCATACCCCTAACAAATATATACATTGGCTAACACTAGTCTTCTCCTAATATTACCTGGATTCAATTTTGTGTGTACAGGTCTGCTTTTAACAGTCACTTTTTTATTTTTAAATTAGCCAAATAATTTTTCTTGTCTCATGCCTCTTCTATATCTGTTAATAGAAGAAAATAATCATTAAAGGCAGGCCAACTGGTAGCTGTTATCGTGGTAAAGGCTGAAGGCTAATTGGAAGCCTGGCAAAGAGCGGAGCAGGAAGGTTACAATAATATTGCATGCCTACTTTGTTTTGTTATGTGTAGTACTGGCCTTTTCTAGAGATCTAAAAGAAAAACTCCAGAGAGGGAATTTGTGCAGAGTCCATTAGACTTTTTTTGAAGGATAAATCCAGAACCCAGGAAACAACCTGAGTAACAGGACTGTGTGCTGTTAAGTTTCTCACCAGCTGCAAAAGAGAATCCTCCCCCAAAGCTAGGGAGTAGAAGCAGAGCTTGTTTGGCGCTGGTGCATTGGGGAGGAATAGCCACATAATGGCTGATAGGATAGGATGCCACATAATGTCAGATTTACCAAACCAGCTCCACTCACGCACACAACTTTCCCTGTGTGCATATTGGAGTGCTATGTGAGTCCCTGTGTAGCTAGTCTGGTCTGGCATATAGCAGGTACAGACACACTGTGTTAGGGTGACCAGATGTCCCGATTTTATAGGGACAGTCTGGATATTCAGGGCTTTGTCTTATATAGACACCTATTACCCCTCAACCCCTGTCCTGATTTTTCATGCTTGCTGTCTGGTCACCCTACACTGTGTTGAGGTCCCAGCATCCTGCTTCCTTCCTTCTGCAGCAGAACCACACCAGTTACACTGGGTAATGGCCTTTGCACCAGAATATAGGGGTGAGGGGCACCATTTATATATTTAATTCTAATTAATTATTTTTCTCAGAAATGCATGTTTTTATATGACTTGGAATTAGTAATGGTTTTGGTAAAGTTAATAATCATGATTTTTTTTGATGATGTCAGGTCCCTGGGGATTTGAGTCAGACATCTGAAGACCAGAGTTTGTCAGATTTTGAAATGTAAGTTTGCAGTAAATGCTGATGTGAAATTTTGTATCTTTATACTGTCTGTGTGGGAGTGGGGAACAAATGATCAAATCTAATACATTGCTTTCCCTACATAATTTCCAATAAGTGAATCATCAGATAGGGTATTCTGTTATTGGAAATAATGCAGCCAACTTTCAGAATCTTTGTCCTGTTTAGTTTTTTTGTTTTTTGTTTTTAACTCTTGGGAGAGAAGGAATTCAGTTTTATGCTGCATCTGAACATCCGTTGGGAGCTTGTTTTGGTTTTCAGTTGGTTCTTGTAGTCCGCTAATGGTTCAGCAGCAGTTGTGACCAACTAAATCCCCGTGGAAATGCCAGGCAGGGTTAATGACATAACTAAAAAGTGATTTCTTTCTTTTGCTTTTGTTTTGCAGTGCTCTTCTGTAATTATTCATTCCCCACTGCAGAAGATGAACATTAGTGTACCACAGTTTTTAAAAAAAAGAAAATTGTAAAAAAGTACTGAACAAATACAGTTGCACTAAAAATCCCATATTTCGTCCTGAATTATTTTAATGTGTGATTTTTCTGGAGTTTAACCTTTGTTAGCCTAAAATCCATATATCTTGCTGATCCTTTTTGAGAAAAGGCGAGTGAAGGAAAATTGATTTTATGTATCTTAAAGAATTTGGAATTAAAATGATAGTGTTATTTAATTGCTCCTAATGCTTCATGATTGAAATTTTACTGTTTTCTGAAAATGCAAAACCATTTAAAAATATTTTTTATCTCCACATATTATTTTCAAAATAATACTGATGTGATAAAAGATCTCCAACTAATCAAACTTAAATATAAGAAAGTAAGAAGGGCCATAGTGTGTCAGACTAATGGTCCATCTAGTCCAGTATCCTGTCTTCCAACAGTGGCCAATGCCAGATGTTTCAGAGGAAGTGAACAGAACAGGGAAATTATCAAATGGTCCATCCCCTGTTGTTCAGTCCCAGCATGTGGCAGTCAGAGACTTAAGGGTTGCGTGCCTAACCATCTTGGCTAATAGCCATTGATGGACCTATCCTCCATGAACTTATCTAGTTCTTTTTTTAACCCAGTTATACTTTTAGCCTTTACAACATCCCCTAGCAGTGAATTACACAGGTTGACTGTGCACTGTGTGAAGAAATACTTCCTTTTGTTTGTTTTATACCTGCTGCCTATTAATTTCATTGGGTGTTATGTGAAGGGGTAAATAACACTTCCTTATTCACGTTCTTCACATCATTCACGATTTTACAGACTTCTGTCATATCCCCTCTCAGTTGTCTTTTCGTAGCTGAATGGTCCCAGTCTTTTTAATCTTTCATCATATGGAAGCTGTTCCATACCCCAATCATTTTTGTTGCCCTTCTGTGTACCTTTTCTAATTCTAATATATGTATATTTTTGAGATGGGATGACCAGAACTGTACACAGTATTCGACATGGGGGCATACCATGGATTTATGTAGTGACATTAAGATATTTACTGTCTTATTATCTATCCTAATGGTTCCTAACTTACTGTTACTTTTAGGTATAATAAGTACACAATATTCAGGCAAAATGGTGATGTTTTAAGTGTTCAGAAAGTTTTGGTTCAGTTGCTCACTGTGGACATTTTGCAAGCATTGGAGGTAGACACTTCTATGTAGCTTTATTTTTATATGTAAAGATGATTCCCTATTTTAAACTTGTCTCTTCTTTTGCTCAGATCAAATCGTGCCCTTATTAATGTTTGGATTCCCTCAGTCTTTCTACGAGGAAAAGCTGCTAATGCATTCCATGTTTACCAGGTATGTAATGTGACTTTAAGAAATCATATTTGCAAGGGGTTTCCATAAGTGAAATAACTGACAAACTTCTAAAATATTCTCAGTACCTGAAGGTGAATCACAAACTAAGGGACCCGTCTTTGAACACTTATGCACAAGGGATAAGACCTTTACTTGTGTGAGAAGCTCACTGGAACTATTTAGGTGAGCAGAGTTACTCGTGTGTGTATTTTCAAGGTAGGACCCTAGTAACGTAGTAAAATGGTGGTACAGTGACTAGGCAAACGAGACAACCATTCAGTGTTCAACAGCAACTCTTTCTCACACACATACACAAATATGCAAATTTAACTATTGGAAGGATTAGTAGCCAGAAAACCTAGGCTATTTCCTACCTTTATAAATTGTACCAGAGGTTCTTTACTTTTACCTTTACAGACACCAGTGGGGAATAGAAATGACTTCTGTGTAGTGGCTTATTGCAAAAACTTTATTTCTGGCACTGTAGAAGCCTTTATACTTAACTGTCTATATTGGTTCTGAAATCAAACCCTCATGTGAGATGTCTAGCTCAGGCACGAAAATGTGTTAGCAATAGAGTCAAGTTACTAGCCTCAGGCAGAAAAGTATTAGCAACTAAGCCATATTTGCATATGTTCAAATATTTGTTTAAATTCTGCAGTTAGGTTCTACCTACTCTGGTCTTTTTTCCCCTTTAGTTTAAAACTTGTTTGAGATTTTCAATTAAAAGGGTCCAAGCTTTCTCTGAAGAGTAGAGAGAAAGCATAAGTTCACCTGAATTAAAACAAAAAGATGCCATACCACATGGAAATTTCTGAATTAAAATGAGATATGTTTGCCATCTATGTAAATTTAGTTCAAGTGGTGTTCACAGTTGCTGTGTCTTGTTGTGGATTCTTCTAATTTTAGTGGAACAGCACAGGTATTACTATTATGGTGATGTTTTGCTTTGTTTAAATCTATTTATAAAAGTGGAATTCTTGTCTTGTATTACTCCTTCCCCCACTCTTTCCTTAAGGAGGAAAGCATCTTAAGACACCTGAACCTGAAGAATTTAGTGTTGTCACTCTTATTTTCTATTCGGAGCATGTATATACTCTTAGGAAAAGAGTTCCAGATGAGTTCAAGTCCATTGTCAAAAGTAACATAGGTACTTAGGAGTCTGTCTCATTGAAAGTCAATGGGATTTAAGCATCTAAGTGCATGAGTCATTTCTCAAGATAAGGCTTAGGTACCTAAGTCATTTAAGCACTTATGAAAACTGGGCTCTTGGTCTGTGATCTTTCCAGTATTGTATTCAAACATTTATTTCCTGTGAACAGTTAGTTATCCTATAATATCTGCAGGTTTTATATACCTCTCTCTATCCAATATCTCTAAAACCCAGTGTTACACTTCACCTTTTTACTGCTTGGTTTCAAGGAGAGTGCACGCTGACTCGTTACAGCTATTTAATGAAATGGGTCTTTAGTAATTGAACCTCAGGAAGTTTTTTAGGGGCGGCACATATAGAACAGTGGAAAGAACTGTACAACAGCAGATGTTTCTCACAGTAAATACTGTTAGCAGGAGAGACTTTTTTTTTTGGCAGAGAAAACCCAGTGAAAGATATTATATTTCTTGTTCCTCTAGGAAGAGCAGTTAAATATTTGAGAATGTGAATATGTACATATTCTCTGCATAGAGTGATTTAAGCTGGACAGTCAGCAATCAAAGAGCAGATTTGTTTACATGTACAGCTTTAGTGCCTGACAAGTACTATTCTGTAGAGCTTTAAGCTCTTCCATAGAATCTCTTAAAAAAAAAAATCGAGACAGTTCATCTATCAAAAGGCAGAATGCGATCTACCTTAACAGATTCTTGACATGTTTTTCTTTTCTGAAGCCACTTAGCAATTTTCTGTCTCTGGAAGCTAAAGACTAAATGAGACAGACTCAGAAAAGATGTGATTATCTGTGAGATGAGTTCTGCAGTGTTCCTGACCATATAAAGACTCTTGAATGCCCTACCCAGTGGTCTGATTTTTTTTCAGCTGAGCATCATTGAGCATGAGTACTAACATTGCATTCCGATTGATGATAAGCAGGTACTCACTTAGTACCAAATTGCTTTTAAAAAGTTAAGCACATTTCCCGCTCTTTTAGCTTTGGCATTATGATTACTGATGTCAAGAAATGTCATATAACAATTAGCATTTCTGTATAGCATTATTTTTGCATCTCTCTAACAGTGTTTATGATCTCTTCATGAAGACATTACTTTGAACTTTATTCTCTTCTCTGTCCCACTGAGTATAATTAATTTCAGCATTTGAACTAGCTAGTTTTTCTTATTTTATAGTTATTCAGTAAAGCCCCAGAAATCTTTGTATCTTCCCTCTTTATATCTGAGGACTGCTTCTGACAGCATCAGGTTTGTTGCCTTTAGTGAATAGGTTTCCACACAGCAGAGAAGATCTTTTCCATTGCCAGAAATCTTGCCATTCAGTAGTTAAGATCTTGGAGAAGAGAAAACAGCAGACTCAAGTAAATCATTTTTAGAAGATTACTGCAGCTGAATATATACATATTTTCTATAGTGTGATTCAGTAGAAATACTACTACTGTAACTGTTAAGACATTTTCTCTTGTCTTTCTGAATGGCAGGTCCATAGCCTGTGTTTTGCATTTTACTAGCTGCCTCCTCCTCATCTGGCTTAATAAGAAAGAAAGTTACTGTGACATAGCAGGGTGCAATCCAGATCAGTGGGAGTCTGTGTCCCCCCTGCCCAGTAACCTGGGGGGCCTAGCAATGCTTTACTCTTATAGTGCTCAACCTGGACTGCTCACAAACAACTTTCCAGCATGCAGGTTACTCCCAGGTGTGTGTGCGTGTAACTGAAGCCTGCAAGTCACACCCTGGTTCTCATCAGCCTTGGTTATACTGCAGGGTGACCCCAACACACTCCCAATCCCAGACTCCCCCCCAGAGATGTATGTCTTGTATTGTCCATCCCTTTCCTGGACAGTTCAAATATATTAAGTCCATTATTCCTTCAAGGGAATAATATAAACAACTTGTCACCTTAAATGGAGTTACCCAGACACTTCAATTTAAACACACTGGATTGGATAAAACAATCAAACAAGTTTATTTACTACAATGAGAGAGATTTTAAATGGGAATAAGCATAGGCAATACAGTCAGAAATAGTTAAAAGAAAAATAAAGATAAACGGCTTTCTAATGCTAAACTCGACAGGCTAAACTTAATTCAAGGTAAAGCTCTTACCCACATGCTCCCAATATTACCGACCAAACTCTCAGGTCAGGACCCTTCTCCCAGAGTCCAGTAGATGTTTCTTATGTCTTCCCAGGTGCAAAGAGTGAGATGGACAGGGAGAGAAAGAGAGGGTTCCCTTGGGATGTTGCCCCTCCTTTTTATAGTTTCAGTCCCTCTCTATTTCTAACTGAGAACTAGGAGACATAGTGTTTGTGTGGAAGGATGTTCCCTGCTGGTTTTTCACCCGTGTGAACTTCCTTTGTTTTCTCCCTTCCTGCTTGATGACTCTGTTTATGGAAAATTATGAGAAGCATACACTCCTTTGTTCAAAACAGGTCTGTTTGACCAGTTTGATGCTACATGAGTCTGAACATGTATTTTTAAAATTAGAATCATAGATTTACAGGGGTAATTAGAATCACAGGGTTAGAAGGGACCACAATGGTCACCTAGTCTAACCCCCTGCCAAGACACAGGGTTTGTTGTGCCTAAACCATACAAGACAGATGGCAATCCAGCCTCCTTTTGAAAATCTCCACTGAAGGAACTTCCGCAACCTCTCTCAGCAGTCTGTTTCACTGTCCTACTGTTCTTACACTTAGGAAGTTTTTATACATTATACAGGGAGAAGTTTATAACTTTACACACAATACTGATACACACATTTTACCATGATATTACTGATCAGCAAGTTATGAGTTTTCAAATGATACTTCACAAGGCAAACTTTGTACAAAGATTTACAATAGTGTGTTGGATGTGAATACAGGAATGCATTCCGTCACAGTTACCCAGTGGATGAAATGTTCATTCTCATTTTTCTTTCTTGTTATGCACTACCCTTTAATTACTTTAAACATAAAAGTATGACTGTGGCATGGTACAAGTCATTACAGAGGTAGGTAGATATTTGTTGAGGTATTTATTTAAAATGAGGCAGTTGGAACTTGTGAACAAAAAGCAGATTAGCCTAAACTGTGGGTTTCTTTGCTATTTTTACTTTATTTCTTTGTTTTCTGTTATAAAAACCCAGCAAAATTAGTTATTTTTCTAGTTGCACGCTGCTCGGGGAAGGGAGGAAATTGTAGCTTTAAGCAGCCCTTGCCTTTGGAAGGATAAGATGCTGTGATAGATAAAGGAACGAGAGGAAACATATTTTTGTGTACCATCCAAAGCTCCCAAGTCCAATAGCAATGCCATTACAACATAGTAGGAAAATTATATTTACAAAATATGCTGCCAGTTCTGGTGTTCAGAGTTGCCAGAACTGAATAGACAGAACATCTGTGATAAGAAATAAAAGAAAAAAATAGCACAGGGGTATTTTTTAGAGCAGGGGTGGGCAAACTACGGCCCGCGGGCCAGATCCGGCCCCTCAGGGCTTTGGGTCCAGCCCGCTGCGCCGCTGGCACCACGTCCCTGCGGTCCCCAGGCGGGGGGGGCAGAGGGCTCCATGCATTGCCCTTGCCTCCAGGCACCACCCCCTGCAGCTCCCATTTGCCGCCAACGGGGAACCGCGGCGAATGGGAACTTCAGGGGAGGTACCCGGAGGCGTGGCAAGGGCAGTGCACGCAGAGCCCTCCGCCCCTCCTCCCTCAGGTGCTGCAGCGCTTCCGGGAGCGGCGCGGGTCTGGGGACAGGGCAGGCATGCAGGGGGCATGCAGGGAGCCTGCCCTGGCCCCGGCGTGCACTGCTGCCACCCCGGTGCCGCTTGAGGTAAGCGGCGCCGGGCCGGAGCC